CACAGAAAATGGAGGAACTGGTTTATGCTGGGACCAAACTCTCCCCCACTCATTCGCTGCAAGCCCCCAGATATCAAGTAAAAAACGGCGTGCCCCCCAACCACCAAAGCCTGTGGGCCCAGCTCGTAGTCACATTTAAATGCAGACTCAAAACTCATCTGGCTGGCTGTGCATTTATTGAATGAGCACTGTGCGATGTCCGAACTGATTGCACTGTATTTTATGCAATCCAAACTGATTGCACTGTATTTTATGTATAATCATTTTCTATTTTTAACTGTCAAAGTTTTTAAATTCCTTTTTTTATTTTTTTATGATTATTTTACTTTCTTTTATGTAAAGCACTTTACCATTATGTACGAAATTTGCTATATAAATAAACTTGCCTTGCCTATTGTCTTCACATTTCATCAGTAAAAACGTTTCTGCTTGTTATTCAGCTCAGCTACAGCAATAGCCGCATGCTTTTGTCCATATTAGGGATTTCCTGCACGTCATAAGTTATTACTTCTATGAGTCTGTTTTGGACTTTCTGCGCGAGAGTGCCCTCTGGCTTCCAGTATGAATGAAACAGACACTGCATGAGAGAGTTCAGTGCTCCTGAAATTCACATCTCCTCATTTTGGATACAAATAAAACATCAGGTCATGCAAAGACTATCGATACTGTCTCTTTGAATTTAAATCTAGAAACCTCTACATGAACAAACCTGCCCGAATAAAGTGCGGGGGACGAATTTACATTTTCTTAAAATTAAATATTTATTACATATTAAAAATGAAGCTAACGTAGTTCTACACACAGCAATTTCTTGCTATTTGATTGGGAAAGGTTTAAAGGGCGTCGAGGGGTCTTGTCTTTTTATGTTATCTGACCAAAAACTATTCATTCTTTGAACTATTATTATTACAGTATTTATTTAAAAAACATAGGGTGCCTTAAAAAATAATTATCACAACACTGGTAATGAGCCGTCGCCGTCCACTGGGCGGCGGAGGAGTGTCGTGCCGTCCACCGAGGGCTGTCCAGTGCCGCCGCCTGGCATCGCGGAAGAGCTTACCCAGCTGGTGGAGGGCCGAGCGGCAGTGTGTCTGGGAACCGGAACAAGATTTTTTTTCAAAACCACCATACCCTGTAAGCTCAATAATAATAATAGTAATATCAATAATATAATTCAGTTTCTAATTCCAGAGTAAAAAATGATGTTTCATGTGTTCCATGTTTCAGAGTAAAAAATGCTTTACCTTTTAAACTTAAAATGGTCTTTCCTGTTTTGTGTTTCTTTTTCAAAACTATGTCACAGTTTGTTGCTGTATCACTACAGAAGCATCCGTTTCGATACACGTATCAGCATGAAGCACAGCCCTAAAGCCATGTTCCATGCACCCCTTTTATACTTTGAGCACCTGCCCCTCCAAAGGTTTCTGCACAGCCCTGCAAGTCTGCGGTTCTTCCTAAGACATTGAGGGCATTTCTGACGATTCTACACGATTACTATGTAAGACTTTTAATACACTACCTCTTCATATGGTTTAAAGAATTCTGTCCTATAACTTGTTACAGTCTGTAGAGAAAATATTGAGGCATGTTATGCCTCAGTTCTTCTCCGTTTTGTTTTGTGAAATACAATATAAGATCTTAATGGCCTAAACTATCTGG